CACTCGCTCCATCTCCATGTTTAATACCTTGAAAAATGAAGGAAAAACATTTTTCCAAAGGATATCATTAAATTATTAATTGTACGCATAACTTGAGTATGAAGAATAAATAAATCAGCTGAGAGAGAAAGAGAGAGAGAGCGAGAGAGTCTCTTCCCCTCCCCGAAAATTCTCGACGAAGAATAAGACGATTGATGGTGCAAATGATGTTTCACAGTTAAACTAAACGTGCTCAAAGTCAGCAAGAAGATAGTGACAAATCGGATTATCTCGCTGGAAAATTGTAAATGAACCAACTGGCACGCGGATCGATGTCCTTCAACGAGAAGCGTGACGAAGAACGATCGAAATAAATCCGAAAGAATGCCGTTGATAAATAATTCATCGTACGCCCTGATAGTATCATTGATGGAGAATCTATTACTTAATACTAACTAATCTTAAAAAAATATATTCGTTATTCGAATAATATTGTTTCTTATTTTTCGTCGCAACGAAAGGGTTAAACTGACGTATAAATATCATAATTATAGATTCATCGACTGATGACTGTTCATTCGCTAGTCTGAGGATGAAAGAAACGAAAGAATAAAAAATATATTCGCCGAATACGGGAAACACGTGAGAAAGGAAGCGAAATAAGCACTCGTTGCCGGATAAACGAGCCGACCGAGGGCGAGGGGCACCAGAGGGTAAAGGTGGAACGGGAGGTCGCGATAGAAATGGAGGTTGAAGGAGTCGTGCCGGGGGCACGATGCGCCGTGCCTCGCCTTAATCTTTTAAAGCCCGAATTAGGCTTGGGCGCGCCCTTTCCTGCATTCGAGGAGAGACGCGTTCCGAGACGCCTCGGCCACGAGGAGCGTGCCTCCTCGCTTAACCGGAAGCGGACCATTACCGGAAACTTAATAGTCCGTGAAAACAATAGAATTACGAGCGCGGATCGAATAAAAATCGGAGAGGCGAAGCTGCCTTTTTTACGACGACGATCAAGACGACGAGGACAGGCAGCGCGGGAGGAAATTGCCTAGCGCGTAATCGTTCTGAAAATCTGTCCCCCTCCCGTCGTTGTATAAGCGGAACGGAGGAGTTCGCGGGAAAATCGCTCGTGCCCTAGTCTCTAGGTCTCGTCCTCCACCTCGCCTCTTTGGCTTTACCTTCGCCGCTACTCGTCGTACGCGTTATTACTCATCGCCGTCCAACCGCACGTGACTGGAGAGAGAGAGGATCCGACCTCTCCCATTTCCGATATTTGCGCTTTGATCATCGAAAATATCTAAATTTAAATGACCAAAGATATCTCTTTCACAAAACTCAATTAAAATTGGCCTCGAGACCGATAGTTATAAATATTAAATACATCTGTAGTTGGCCGATGTAAATGAGCCTTCGGGTGTGTAAACTGCATTGTAATGTACATCTAATTTGTGTTTCATTAGAGTAAATTAGGTTTAACAGATATTACATTCCGCGTTGCTCGAATGATGGATGATGAACGATCCGTCATCTAGGATTTTGCATATAGGCGTTAGCAGCTGCCTACATTTATCGTTCGATAACATCTCGCACTTGTCCTCGTTGTATATCACACGGCTCACGCCGCATAATTTGGTTCCTTTAGATTCCACGGTGGTTTCGAAAATTTCCCTCGCTTGACGCTCCCTCGGCAATGCTCCCGATGCGAGTCCCATGCGACTCCTTCCTAATTCAGGATCTACGCGAAGGTGTCCTTTTAGCATAATCCTCCGGCGCGACACGAGAGCCCACGGTGGGTACCAACGCACGGGAGAACTCGCGACACGGAATCAGGACACACACGGGGATGTCGCTCTCTTTCTCTCCCCTTGCCGGACTCATGCCACGGTCAATCCTCGTCTATGTCGCCGTCGTGGTAGCACCACCGATAGGCAGGCAGGAGCACCAACGGCAGTAGCAGCAACGCCCGGGCATCGGGTTGTCCGATCATCCTCGCCCTAATGAAGGCTGGTTTATCTGAAAGGCTTTCGATTCCCAGTATAACCCATACCACACGTACGCGCCGGTGATGGTGGACACCTTCGCGGTGGTGCTAGCCACCGGCTCGTACAATCTCGAACAAAAACTGCAATCTCGCGAGCAGCGACGGAGAAAGAGAGAGAAAGGGAAGTGCTGGGTTGAGGAGAAAAGCGCGATGATAATTACAATATGTTAATGCAGCGGAATAATTAATTATCGAGAGATTAAAATTGCTCGCTAAAAGTTCAATCGATAGTGAAATTTAATTACATACGATGGTTATTGTCTGAAAATTTATTTCATACAAGAAGATGGTTATTTATCGGCAACTGCATTTTTACAGGAATGTAAGATCAAAATTAAATTACGCAATAGTTAGATTTATAAATAATTAATCGCGAGCTCTTGATGAGAATCAACAAGTTGAATTGAAGAGTTTTAGCGGTGATTGTACCGCCGTTCAGGCCACCCAAAGCTGGAGAGAAGACACGAGGTGGGTACTCTGGGAGGACACGTGGGGAAAGGAGGGAAGGTTCTACGATGTTAATTTTAACTTAATTAAGGCTTAATTGAGAAGAAAACATTATGCTCCGCGACCGCGACATTGCCCGGGGCCCCCGCATCTGCAACGCAAATCCGGATTTGAAATTTCAAAAATCACGCCCGCCCTGCCTTAAAGACCATCGACCGCTCCCTTCCGTTTCCTTCCGTCTCCTCCCCCTCCCCGATCTTTCCCCTCGCGCGAGTGCAAGATCGCGACTCGTGGTCAATTAGAGAATGTGGAAAAGGTTGGTGGCCGTCAACCGTTGATGGGAGAAGGTGAAAGAACCATCGTCAGGAAAATTGCACGTGTGATTTGTGTCAAAAGAAAAAAGTATGTTTCCTTCTTTTAAATTTTTAAAATATATTAATTATTTAAATAAATTGAAAGGAATTAGGCTCTATATGTATGTATTTAAACAACACGAAACTAGCGAATAAGAGCCACCGCGGATGGTAATGCGTAAATTTTTCTTAAAGATTAATTGTTCGCGAAAATTATATATTAATTATTGTCAGCGAGTTTATCACTTGAAAGAAAGAAAGAAAGAGAAGGAAAAATTACACAGTCTATCTAAATTATCTTCGTGTACAGAACGAAACGACAAAATATCATGATGCTAATTTGCATCCGACTTCTTGAAAAAAAAAAAATAATAATAATAAAAATCGATAATATTACTACACAGTGCGATATTAATCGTATTAGATCAACCAACGTGACGTTTATCGTGAAAAATACCGAGAAAGGGTTCGATAAAAAAAAAAAAGAGTATCTACGTGTCTTGCGGTGACGCGCAACCTTCGAAAGTTTTGCAAAACTGCCCGAGCGGTGCGATAGCGCGAGCTCTTTTTCATGCCGGACTACTCGCCTATAAGTGTAGAGTGTCCAGAAAAGCACGTACGTTCCATGAACGGGCCTCCGTTAGTTTGAAACGTCATTCGAAACTCTTTGCAAAGTATTCAACGAGCGGGAGACATCGTATCGCGCGTTTCACACATGCGTTCGTTTCCCCGCATTCGAGAAGGCGATTATATAGTCTCCAAACCGGAACAGGAAAGAATTCATTCGTTAATTTAACGGATCCATTTAATAATTATAATTTTTTTGAATTACGCAGTGTTTTTCAAATTAGGTAGCACAATAGATTTCTTAAATACTCCATTAATATGATTATGTAAAATACGTCAATAACAGAGGAGAGGAGATAGATATAGAGACGAGACAGCGGTCTAGACATTGGCCGTTCAATTATCGAGGATAAAGAAAATCCATATAAAATATCACGTTCCTCCAATCGTAATGACAATCTCTACGTTCGAGATAGAGGAGAGAATAACAACGTTCGGGGCGCGTCTTAAAAACGAAAGAGTCGACGATTTCTCGAGCGGTCGTCACTCATCCATAGATCGAACGGCATGATTTCAGCGAGTCGTTCACAGAATACGACACAGATCGCGGTTATATACCCGGGGCAAATAAACACTTCCAATAAACGTGCGTGACGTCATTTCCGTTTCCTGGTACGGACGCGAAACGCGCGCCGCATGCCTTCCTCTCGCGATGGACAACGTCGCCCGTTTTAATCGGTCGCCAAGTATGTGCGGAGTAAGAAAACCCGACGATGATTCGACAAAGATGGCGCGATAAATATCGTCCGGCTCTTTTATGATTCGATTCGGCGATCGATCGCGATCAATTATTTCGCTGCCGCAATTTCGAATTAAGGACATTGGATGGATTGGCAGTATATTTAACGCTATTTATTCGCCATCGATACCCACATGTCTCGTAATGATATAATTTATATATCGTCATGCGTGTCGTATCATGTGTAAGTTACATTTAATTTAATCGACAAATTTTTATATCAGAATCTTTTTCACCTCTGATTTGGCTAAAAATTTGCATGAAGCTTTCCTTTGCCATACAATTCGGAATCGTGATGGAAAAAAGGATCGACTCCCTACTATTTTCTATTAAGACATTATATGAAAACTGATAATTTTTTAGTTTTATAAATATCTTGATAATTTATTATTATGCGTACAGGAAGCACAAAACTATAGAATCTGAACATTTTAAATTGGGTTAGGTTTTGGGATGGGGAGGAAGGAACTCTATTTCTCCCCCATTCACTCGTTTATTTATTTAAGATTTTCATCATTATATATCATATGAAGAAAATGACGGATGCAAAAATTAATTTCCTTGTAACTTTTTAAATACATTTTTGTAGTTGTTTAATGTGAAAATATAATAAAATTATAATGAAAAAAAATATATAAATTTTTTTCTATAAATAAAGATATTTCGTATACTTTTAAAATGTCTTCTAAACTTGTCTTCTAAAACATGTCTTCTAAAAATTTTAATTAAATATATTATTGCCAAATCCGATTATCATAAATGCAAATTTTGCACGAGCAAAATTCGTGAAATAATATGCATATGCGGCTTGTTTCAGGATACCTATAATATTCAGCGACGATTCTCGTGACTGCGTTCAAGGTCGCGGCTGAAAAACCTCCCTGGATATTACACGGGTTAACCGAGATGTACAGATATACGTTCGCGCAGGATATTCAAAAACCGTCTCGCACGCGTGGATCGGCATGACGGATCGGTGGCCTCTCGTGATGAATCGCTCCGTTATAATTCCTGACTTGGACCGATGATGAATTCGCCCCCTCTTTTCGTGCCATCGCTCGTGCTTCTACTTGGACTCAACGGCGACCCCCACCTTCGCTTCGACTCTAAGATCTTTTATGGATTAACGTAATTCCTGACACGACCAGAAATTGCGTTTCACGAATAGCTGACGAGAAGGAACGATAAAAGGCGGTACTCCTCGCAGTGGGATACGTGGGTAAGTTTTGCGAAACATAATAGAATACATTAGCGTTGCCATTTAAAGTGTATTATGCCCTCGGTTATTTCTATTTTAAAGAAGGGAAAAGGAAATGTGCGTTAAAAAGGAATCTTTATATTTAAGAGAAACAGAGATTTATTATTAGAAGAAAGAGTACTAGGTATGCTACATCATTTATCGTACTACTTGAACTACGGTTACTAGAACGAAAACATAAAAGTGGAAAAACAATTAGGAATTAAATTACAGCGACCAGCGTTGCAGACATAAAATTTTTCCGACGACCGATCCTATCGCGAGTAATTTTCACGAACGTTAAGCAGAAACCTATAAGCGCGAGGCAACTACTTATTTTCCTCGTCGTTTTCGTAGCCGCATGCTTTACGGCCTTGATCCTGGGTCTGGGTATTCTCTCCGGGATTACCGTCGTAATTCGCGATACGACACAATAACTACCGTCCGAAAGCATAATCTCATTTCAGGAGTACACAAAGAAAGAAACCGCAGAACCAGTTCCGATCGACGCGACCGAGCGCGCGTATCCGTCGACGGACCTAATCAATTAGTCACTTGGCTCGGCTGCGCGAGTCATTTCGATCGTAATTTGCTTGCTAGCATAATAAACCTCCGCGTACCCTCCTCCCCCCTTCCTTTACATCCTCCGTCAATCTCCGGGACTGTCTCCTCCGCCCTCGTCCCGCCGCGTCTCGTCACGCCTCGCTTCGCTCGCCAGGCTCTGCTTACCAAGAGAAACGCCGGTGTTTATAAGCGGTCCAGCCTGGAATTCGATTTGTTTAAAAATCTAGGCGGCACGTAGAAGGTCCGCGAGCAACAATTCGAGTAACGATTCTCAAACATGAGAGAGATACGGTCTCTCTCTCTCTCTCCCTTCCTTCTAGTCGATATGCCAGAGGAGCCGGGCATCGATGACGATCGACGGACGCCGGTAAACGTCGTTCCGTATCTACTCATCGCGGACGTAGAAGTCATATCGCATTCCACCGACGCGACGACGTACTTAAATAAAGTGGAGCCGAACGTGGGATCGGGACTTGATTCATGCGATATAAACAGCGGGCAGGAAATGGAAATTGATGCCGCATAGATAATTGTGAATAATTTCAAGAGCCAGCTGTGTATGAAAAAAATATGCAAAAGAGGAAACAAAAATTCGATAATTATAAAGGTGCACAGGTATAATTATTTGGGGATTGAGATGGAAAAATTAATGATACTTTTAAAAAAAATATGCTTAATCGTCGTCTCGACTTCGATTTTGACAATTTACAATTTCAATCGTTGTGACTCGACTCGAATATCCTTTTCCCGGACACCTTTGGCAAAAGTACGTAAATTTCTTCGTGCGCTACCGAACGCGTTTGGAATTGCGCGTTAGTCTGGCCGGTTCGAGAGAGGGCACGAGAGGAACCTCCGGGGCGGGCGGAGGGAGAGAGGCAAATTCGTAACGAATTCTTTTGTTTCGAGGCACCCCGCAAAACGAGCAACGCGAAAGAAAACGATTCCAGACTGCTACCCGACGGTGGTGAGCCGCGGAGAGCCACGTCGAGTCGCGGAGAGACGAGGAAAGAGAGCAAAGAGGCCGTTCGCGTCTGCGAAACCTTTTCTGCAGCCATGTATGCAGCCTCCGCGAGAGTCGCAAACCTGGCACACCTATACGAGCGGGCCCGCGTGCGTGTGAAATTCGTAATGGTGCGCGTACGCGTACCCGAGCACGTGTGCGCGGCGATGAACGCGCGCGCGCACGCGGGAATATAAGGTTTTATTTTCGAAATTTATGATTGTCAATAAATTTTAAAAGCGTTCCGTCTGGAGCCCTAAGGGCTGGCAAGGCTGGCCAAACCGAAAGCAGTCGTCGGGAGAGGGCCAGATTCCCTCTCTCTCTCTCTCTCTCTCCCTCGCTTTCTTTCTTTCTCTTCGTCCATCTCGTTTCCTTCTTTCCTCTCCTTTCCATCTTTGCTCCTTTCTCATCCAGTTCTCTCCTCTATCCTCGTCCCGCCAATCTCCTTCCCTTGTTCGAGTTCTCTACCTATATACGCCATCCCGGGGCTCCTATGGGGATTCGGGTTTAGCGGTTAATTGCGTTTGGTGCAACCCGCGTGGATTTTACAACCGCGATTTTCATCCTTTTTTTCTCCCTCCCGGACTTTCGACCGGCCGCCCTTCGACTCCTTTCTCTCTCCCTTTTTTTCCCTCGGCTCCGCGCTCTCTCCCTCTCGCTTCTCCCGCGGCGCGGCACCTCTTTCCACCCGCCGCCCTCTCCTTCTCCCTTCCTCTTTCTCCTCTTCGTGCTCCTTACTCCCGTTTTGCTCCTTTCGCGACGTTTAATTGTTCGCGACTGGTTCTCAAATCGGTTCTCACCGCGCCGTTTTTCGCCGACTAACCGCCGACTCTCATCAGTGGACCGCGTTTCGAGATCTCTCCTCTTCGACCGTTCGATGACTGACGAGGATATTTAATATTGAAAGAGAATCGCGTGTGTCTGACGACTACTTGAAAGAATATAATTTCGTATATAAAAAAATCTTTATTAAATTATTTTTTTTTTCGATTATTGAAAAACTTACGTGACAGCCTCTTCTCTTTTTCTTTTTATATTTCTCACAAACCATATATGTGTGTGACTATAATTATACATTATATCAGTAATCATCGGGCATTTTTTAACGCTTTTATATTTCTTTTATCAAATTATTATTTCAAGTATACCATTTTTCTCATTAATTGGCGTTATTCAGGCTATGATAAAACACGCTTATCTATCGATATTTCGATTCGCTCGCGTCCATTTGATAAAATGCAAAATTCTAATCCTTCTAAAAATCAAATACAATGCAATTTCATCACCGCGACCGCGAGTCGTAATAGATTCTCGTTGAATGATACAAGCGTCGCGCATTAAGTTATCCGTGAAGATCGCAGCGAAATATATCAAGCGCACGTCGACAGCAAACGCTTCTCATTACGGTACCTTTGATAACTAGCATTTACATGATGTAATTAATAATCGAGTCGATGCTTGGTCGCGCCTCTGACGCGCGCACGAAGCACAATCGCCTCGCGCTCCATTTCTGCCGCCGAGGACGTAGCCTGGCAATTTCTCCGTATCCGAAAATCGATATTTCATGGCTAATCACCAGCATTTCGGAGGCGTGGAAAAGAAGTTCGTTATTCATCGCGCGTCGCCCCGGGATATGCGAACGAAGAGGGAGACCCCGGGGGGAGGGGGGAGAAGGAAGGGGAAGGGAATGTCGAAATCACCGAAGGCGATTGCCGATCTTTTTTCCGCAAACGCTCGCTTCTTGCAGATTCGTTCACAGTTGCCGTCAGGTACATGTACGAAATGTCAATCGCGAAGAGAGAGAGAGACTGGCCTCGTCGATCGAACAACTCCATCTCGCGTATCGATCGTGGGGACGAGAATCGGTCGTGAAAAAAAAAAAAAGAAAAAGAGAGAGAGTGAGAGCGAGAAAGAAGGCAATCTCGAACGAGACATTCGTGCTGATCGAAACCGCGTGTGCGATCGATTGTGACCTTTCCCAAAAGGAGCGAGGAAAGGAGGTGCTCGCGGTTCCAATAATCGATCTTTAAGGTCGGCACGTAGCTGCGTACCGACGATATACATCTCGATCGTGGCAGTGATCAAAGATCGCCGGCCTCGTTACGAGACGTTATAAGGACGTACGTAACCGAACCGTAGGAATAATTACTCGTAATCAAGCTCAATCTAATGCTCCGTAGGATGACTCGCGTCATTTTTTCCTTCGCTCTTCCCCCGCTTGGCCGGCCTGCTCTCTTAAGGTTGCTTCTCCCTCTCGTTCTCTCTGTCTCTCGTTTGATCGTTCGGCTATACTGCTATTAATTATAAATCGCGTCTTTCCTCCGCGACTCCGTCGCGTTTTGCTTTTAATCGTGCGTGTCTCGCGCTCGCCGATGTAATTACTATTATGTACCGCTGAGCGAATGACGAGATAATGAATCATATAGTTTGTCTTTATTATAATTTATCACATCACGAGAAAGAGAGAGAGAGAGAAAGAGAGCTATCGGAATGTCATCGTAATTCAACGCATTAAGCCTAAATAAGATTCTAATTCAGATGATATCTTGGCTCTTTGTATCGCGTAATGGTGACAATGCGTTTTCTCAACGGTGTTTTTAAGGGAATTATACCCGGGATTTAAGCACGCAAGTTATAAAACGCGGGGAGCGCGCGCACTAAAAGCCTCCCCCTCCCCCCTATTGAAATTTATAATGTTTCAAAACTGGACTTGCACCGCTTTCAAAATAAACAGCTCAATTCAGATTCAGTTCTCGGGTCCAGTTTCAGATGCAGTTCAGGTTCACTTCTCGCCTCGAAGAATCTCGGTTTATTCAACCTCGCGGTCTGTTTTTTCTTCTTTCTCGTCTTCATCTCGCGCCATACGTATAGGGACGTGTAACCGATCTTTGTAAACTCGAACAAAAGCGACTTTTATCCGGTTATCTTTCAACTTTGACGCGGTCTCCGCGCGACGTCGTCCTTCGCGCGATGGGATTCTTCCTCTATCTGTCGCTTCGTTATTCGTCAAGAGGTGAAGCAAGGATGAAGAAGAAGAAGAAGAAGAAGAAGAAGAAGAAGAAGAAGAAGAAGAAGAAGAAGAAGAAGAAGAAGAAGAAGAAGAAGAAGAAGACGAATAGGGAGGAGAAACCGGCCGACGTCTTCCTAACCGATTTTTGTTCCCACAATATTGAAAGCCGTCGAGTCATCGTTTCGAGTTCAGAGAGATGAAAGAACATTATTATTCCAATTTTAAAGGATGCCTCGGACCCCGCAGACCTCGGACTGCTCGGTCGAGTCCGTCCCGATGGATCTCTCGCTTCCATCTTCCAGCACCCCCTTCGGTCTCCTATCTTCCTCGCCACCGCGCATCCCATCCGTCCGATACTCGTCCACTTAAATTCCGAATCCGACGATTGACTCGGGCTTATCG